TGAGAATGAAAGAACAATACTATCTTTAGGCTAACTGGAAGAAAACAGATGAATTAACAAAGGCGATAAACGAAGCATTTAATATATTTAAACAGTTTAAGTACAACTATTGTAAATTCTTGAACACTGATGCAATTCTTATGCGACGTTTCCCACTAAATAGCTAGTAGTAAATAATTGAGTGAAGTCAGTTCAATTCGGTATATCAATAAGAAAAAGACCACACTAATTCTCTATAATTATTCTAAAGGAAGATTTTTATCTGAAAACATAAGTTCGAAATTCGGATTTTGTGTCTGCTGATATAAGAATACCGAAAGTATGTCACCTGTGAATTTATAGGCTGATATTTAATAAGTAGTTGCAGTAAGCCATAGATAATATTGCAGATAAGTGTGGGTAAATTTGGCAAGGGATATCTTTCAAAATGTTTGCCCTCAGCAATCACAATAATTCGTAAAATCTAAGCTAAATGAAAGCAACGTATGAAAGTGGTGATGAATAAACTTTTGGTGACACAGAAGAATTGACAGCTATATCAGTTACCACCAGCAATAAATTCGTCTACGTAACCTAGGCACAGAAAATGTTTTCAGTAACTTTAATAGCTGGATGACGAAATCCTAATTTCAATACTTAATGGCATTAATTTGAATCCACAAAAGAAAGTGAGTTCCTTTCAAGGCTGGAGATTTGTCTTGTTGATGCATGCCAATAAGCATGGATTTTTTAAAATTAAAACCAAAAATTAAATCAAAACTTTAATAGACATTAAGAAGGAAATTAACTAAACAATACGTGAACAGTGGAAGACAGACAAGTCTGTATAAAACCTTTCACAGAAGTTATTCAATTTCAGCTGCGGAACTCAATACAGTGCAGGTTGAATGAGCATAAATCGAATAACAATTAACCAAAAATATTTTTGCAGTGTTTGTAACTACCGCTAAAGTAGACAGTTTCGAAGTACATTTTTACAGAATGAGGGAATAGACAAAAATCCTGGAAGAAAAGTTTCATAGAAGGGAAAAACAATAGAGAAAACAATAGAAGACTTGATTTGCCTTGATAATTATTTCATCATCATGTCTATTCATATTTCTGTAAATTAATAAACAGTTTTATACATATTGTAAGAGTATATTATATTTTAATGAATAAATCAGACTCATCGATCGACTTTTTCCAGTACACTTGAAGTAACTATGGTGTTGATGTTTAGTTTTACAAGATTAATAATTCATGAAATAACTATGCAATAATCAAAAAAACCTCAAATTTACCCTGTTGCTTGGAGACATTAGCCTGTGAGTTTAAACATTCACTAAGTCTTTATAACGATCGGGTATTAGAGATAATTGCAATTTATTTAGTAAACACACTCACACTCTAGCGGTATAACGGTAATAACTGGTATACTTTATAATTTCCGAATTCAGCAGTGGCTGATGCAGTTTAAAGTAACAAAAACATCATCTCTATCATCGACACTGTAGATAAATGTAATCAGTGTTGGGTGATACAGAGCCCGTATTTCTAGATCCTCACCATATTCTAACGACCCAGCACTAAGAAGTGTTCACTGCGTAAAAGGAGCGTATAACACAGTTGTATAATAATGCAAGCTGAATAACTTATTTTTGACTGGTTTATGTCAAGATAGGTTTTTTAAACAGAACTTATTATCAATGATTGTGCCTCAAACAGTCAATAGGTTATTCTGTCAAAACGGAAATGAAAGTAATTTTGACCTTTTTGAGAAATATAATTTTCTTTTAGATTACTGCGATTCAACAAAGTTAAACACTGGTTATAAGCTTGCAAGTAACACCCTATCATTTGAAAGCAATGTGCACATCATGAAGACGATCCATCCCTCTCCTCATATTTTACAGCTTAGTCAACAGGTTACCTTTACAGTTCGAGACCAAAAGTACCACGTTATTTTCTGTGTTTAGCATCTGATCCACGTGAACATGACATCATTTTCTGGTTGCGAAATGTTTCCTTCCTAAGCGTATAAAATTTTCATTGCTTTGTTGCACCAAAATACATCATGGTCAAGTTGTTTCCAGCTCAAAGAAATATTTTATAGAGCAACGAATTTTGATTTTCAAACATTTACCGAAAAAATGCATAGAGAAGAAATCAAGAACACTTCCATTTAATGAACACCAAAATTAAAATGGCCTCGTATAGAAATATATATACGTATGATAGACACATTTTTTTAAATAAATCGCACGTTCGAAGCACCTGACAGCAGTATTTACAATAAATGAATGGAAATATAGAATACTTATAGTAGTTAAAAAGTAGTCATGAATAGGATTACGTCAGAACTGTAAACCCCTGGAAATATTTTCAATGTACTTATCAGAATAGGCATTTATTTCATACAGAGGAAATAAATAAAACAAGCAAACCGACATAACTTAAGAGTATCTTAGATCAGATAATTTTTCTGAAGGGTTTCAATTATGTTTTAATAGGAAAAGCTGTTACACTTGTTTTCATTTCGGATCCCTGATTCGTTTGTAGGATTGTATCCTTTGAGTTTTGGTGGTTAAATAAAGAACTTTTCACTCATGTGGAATAGATGGTACATTTAAAAGACGTGAAATGAAAAGATTTCTCAAGAAGTGTGTGATACTAAGCAGCCTTTATGACCATAACTCTCATTCATTGTCTTCACCAGTTTTGCTAGATTTGTTTCATAATTCAAAAGGATTCAATAAAAAAATTATTTTATAAATGATAATTTTTTTTTAGAACAAGCTTTATTATTAAGGAAATCCACTTTTGGTTTAATTTATCCTATCTTAGATACCTGGGCGACTAAATATAAACTGATAGATGCAGCTGAAGATCAAATTATACACTTTTCACTTGCTCTAAATAGCCATTAGTTTTATCGTGAGCATGTAGTAGAATAGCTGGCTGTTATTAACTTTTCATAGAGGAGTTTTATCTCAAACTATCCAGAAATAATGATTTCAATTCGTGTTTTCCTCATATGCACCAGGAAGTCATTTTACTGAAATCCAGTTTAACTTTACTTTTTGCCTCATTACAAAAGTATTTTACATTGTAAAGCAAAATTATTGTCGACAAAGGTTTTTAAAATGCCTATAGATTACAGAATAGATTGAATGGGTTTACCATTTACGGCTGCTAAGATTTGATTTCATATTTTGGCTAGTGAGATGAGATTGGATTAACAGTTAGTCAGTTACCAATGTATCCTAAAATAAAAGACTTTCTTAATCAAAAACCACCAGTTGTAAGTCATACATCCCAGCCTCCAATGACGTTCACACGTAGCATATTTGTAATTCCCCAACGAGAATCCAAATAATGACGATTAAAAAAGGATCACTTTTAAACAAAATTTCAACTAAGTGGTACAAGCAAATCTGACATTGTGCACTAAATCAAACCACTACTTTAGATAGACGGGAGTATCTGAAATAGAATTTTGAGCAGCATTCCCTAAGTGACAGACAGACAAACCAAGGTAAATGGTAGCATGGAAGTGCATCACTTTAAGTCGCTACACTTCAAAGCAGAATACAGAGAAGTGGTTAGAAAGAGGCTGGTATTAAATCAGACAAAATGAACAGGAGCGGAGGCAACTGAAAAAAATGAAGGCTAGTTAAAATATTTAAATTTAAAGGATGTTAAAGTGTGATTACGTCTACACCAATAAGACTAATTTTGAGTCATATCTTTAGTGTCTTCAAACACTGGGTCTTATTATGTTGAGAACCACAGCCAGTCAGACTACACCCTCTTGAGTGGTTCAGGCCGACTGTAGATTACTTCGTGCAATGGCATTACAGTTTGGTCTGGCCCTTGTTATCCTTCTTCCAACCCATTTCCACCGCATCAAACATTGCACTTCGAGAGGCATGGTGAGCCGACATGTGCAACACGTGTCTAAGCTGCAGTTGGTGAAGATTTGAAAAATCAGCGACAACCTTACTTTCCTTGCCTATTACTCTTCATTTAATCTCCACCTTGCTCAGACAGTAATTTAATAATCAGCTAACAGCGGTGATTATATATCGGTGATCATAGGCATGTTTTTTATCTTCGTGTTTCAGAGATGGTGACTCCGAGGCGTACAACAAGACAGAGCTCATTCAATTCTAGATCCCGTCAGCGGTCAATCCACTGAGGTAGACACAACTTCCACAATAAGTGAATTAGTCAACAAATTCAACTACTTCACACCTTTAGTTTAAACTAGGAGTTGGTTCAGACCAGTCTTGGAGTATCATCATACATTTCAAAGATGCAATGCGCATGCTGAACATGTTCGGATATTTGCTTAAGGTGTTCAGAAAACTGTATTCCGTTATCGTCTCCGCTTAAAACAACTACGCCTTCTGAATACTCATGGTCAACTGGACTGTCTGATGGGGATAAACTAATCCAGGAAGTTCAAGTAAAATGATCATCTTCATCAGCAAATTTGTTACAACGTTGTATAGGAATAGTCATAGTCGATTTCCTTGGTGGATATCACTGGTTTTCGTTATTGTGTAAAGCAACTGTAAATTGCTTATTTTACGACTTCGTGGGTTTGAGTAGGCAGTACTGACCAGCAGAAGATAATTATTCCTTAATCTCCTCTCAGTCACAGCCTGCGATAACACCCCTTGGTTGGCAGAATTGAAAGCCAGCTTCAGGTCATAAAATATGGTTAGTGTAGGCCGTCGATAAGCCTGCCTGCTTCAGAATTCATGGAAAGGTGAAGACCTGATCAATCTATCAAAGTCCAGGTCTGAAGACTGCCTGAATCTTTCGAATTTATTGTTTTTGGTGCTCATTTTGGTGTCATGAATCTACGAACCTTGGGATCCTGGACACAACATCAGTCAGGGTGATTCATTTCTCATTATTGTATTTCTATCCCATGAACTGAATCATATTCAAAACAACAGGAAAAATTGTAACCAAGGTAAGCAAGGAAAACTGACAGAACTGTTACTTACGTCATCTGCTTTTAAACAAGTTATTCCGTTGGATTTATAGTCGGTCGGTTTACTCATATCACCAGCGGCGGGTGCTAAATTTATACCACCTCTATCATGTTCATTACTCAGGATACCAGCATTAGCACTACCTAGTTGACTTCTCGTCTCTTCAAGACGACTATCTAGCGCAGACAATTTTTCACGTGCTATAGCTAATGTTTCAGCAGCAGCACATTTTTTACGTGTTACAATAGCAGCTTGTTGGCGAAAAAGTGAGATCTTATCATCTAACGGTTCACTAGAAACCATACGTTTTTCAATAAGTTTATTAGTTTCAGAGTTCACATCTCGCAGCTAAACAGGGAAGAAAAAAAAGACAGGTTTTGTACAATTAAATCAGTGTCCAATGATACAGAATAAGAGTTAGCTGAATGAATTATGTAGAACCAGTCGTCATCAATTGATATAAAGTGATGTGATTAGTGGAGTGAAACTAAGTAAATAACGGTAGCTATTGAATGGTTGTAATAAAGTATGACCGCCATCAAGCAACGGCAATGATGACTAGTCCTTACTTCTCACTCACTTCACCACATAGGTTGCAGCACTATTTTAGAAGTTATAAAAATCTATTCCAAAATCCCTCACGTTTGATCACTGGATAATCGTTCCTTCGAAAGGCCCCTCATGGGTTGATTTTTTATGATTCCGAAGGCGATTTCGCTCGTAATAAAGATAGCTTAGGATAACTAATTATTGTACAAAATAAGAAATCAGTATAGATCACTGGAAAATGTCAGTCACTACTGGAAAAACAGTGAGTAGTAGGCAGAACATCATGCACGCTCATGCTTGACAAACGAAGATGTACATTTTCAAGGTAGTATGAGATGTACTGCCAAGCGTAAGTTCTGTAAACAGAAGATTACTTTCAAACTGAAAAATAAGGTTGTTAAACATGAAAGCTTTTCTGATAAAAAAGATCCGGTGTAAAGTATTTTATTCCAGAGAAGTTGGTTGTCATTATTTTCTACCCTTCTTTTCTGTTCATCTATTTATTCACAATGACCTAGACACTGAATTCGTAGTGGGTCGTCAACATTCAAATACTACCCTCTTGTATAAAATCTGCAAGATTGGTCCAAGTGATAATGGAAACATGTAAAGATATACTGCCAGGCATACTATATACATGGCCAGCTTAGCTAGTCTATTGATTCATTCTGGAAAAGGTATACAAGTCTATAGGGTTATGTCAAAAGAAGCGATGAATCACCATAACATATAAATGGGAAAACATAAAAAGTGAGCGAAGGATAAGAATTACTATATATTTCAGGGAAAATTATTATAAGCAGCATTATGGATAGTCAACTTCGCCCGATGAACTGCCTATTAAATAGTGTATCGTAAAATACGAAACCGAATGGATAAACTAGAATGGAACCACATGGTAGCAGATTATTTTATATCTATTTTAACAAAGGTTTATAAATATGCAGCGAAAAACATTTCCCTGTCAATGAAAGGATTAGCCAAAATGAGCCTATGAAATAGTGAGCAAGGTTGAGGGTTACAACGAACTAGTGCCATCTGAGTTTTACTGTTAAATTTATTGTTGATTATTTGACCAAGATTGATGATTAAAACTTCATGAAAAGATAACAAGGTTAGGAGGGAACTGAATATCTTATGTCCATTACATACGGTATTTTTTGACCAATATTATAGTAACATCTTTGAGTTCTCCACTTTTAACAACTAAGCTTCACATTTGTAGAACAGGACAGAGCCAACCGCCTTGTATAACACTTTTCCTTTAAAAGGTATCCCGATATTTTGACATGTAAACTGTACTCTGAAGGAAGTACCGACTTTTTTCAAACACTGCCTACACGAAAATGGAAACCTATAGAAGTTCATTGATGATTAAGTAGGATAGAAGCGTAAAGAATTGGGTGCAGTACATTTGGGAAGTCGTTCTTTCTGCATCTTGACTTTGAAGAGGACCAAATTATCACAAGGATGAACCATAGATTGAGTATTGCACTGAACAAGACCTATCCAGTTAATGCGTACCAGACTACATTCTCAATGTGCGAATCAAAAGTGGGCCAGGTTACAACTCTTGATACCTCCAACTGTCTATCAATTCACATGTTTGCGCCAAAGCACATGAACTGGGGAAAAACAGAAAGAAGGATTCTTGCTCTCATCCTAGAATACATTGAAAAAAACTTGAGTCTTAAGGGTCTACAGTGTTTAAGTAGCGTAATTGCTCAGCATTTACTTGATACTCAACGTATTGACTTGTCGAAATCGTTAGAAGTGAACTAAAAAATCTCGAAACCGAAACGTTTACATTTTTTGAAGCAGTTGCAGTAAAAAGACTCAAACGTGATCTATGTATTCAGAAAGACATTTTTTAATCTCGCTTTACCTTGGTAACTAATCTTTTAAATTTGTAACGATATGACTGTCTTCCTGACCTTTGTTTTTTTCATTTTCTCTTTCAATCTATTGAAAAACCTACTCTGACTTACTGAGTTGTGTTCAGCTAATTACTTATTCATATGCTGAAAATCTGCCAAATATTTATTACGCCTAACTAATCATGATATCGTTTTTTACCAATTCTAGAATAACATTGCGTCCAAACTCCCCACATGTAAATAGTTGACTATTGAGAAATCTAAACAACTGCATCAAATTCCATCAATTCTGGTCAGTCTACATCTTTCTTATCTTCCATTTCATCTAAACATTCACACCATGTAGGATGTAAAGCAGCTAAGTAGAGTTCACAAAACATACGTATGCTAATTCTGCTATTGTTCTTCTGGCTTCGTTTATCAGACCCATATAGTTCTCCAACAAAGAGATCTATGATTTCATATAAACAAAAGTGTACAGTGATCTAGGCCAGTTTACTCAGACTACGGCTTGTCTTTATGAACTCGCTAATGTTGAATTTGATCTGATCAATAATTTTCCATCTTATCAATGAAATATCATAGCGGCAAATCAACAAGTGCTGTTGGTTCACTTCATTTCAGTTTCGGAGCAGTCTTTTCAACTTCACTTCGCGTTAAAGTATCAGCGCTCTCTCCCATTTGGGTCCAAGTTCGATGCTGATGAATTTAAGAGTCGTTGCAGGTGAATTCAACTGCTAATGAAACCGGTTCACGCTAAACATTTCAGTTCCCTGTCCTCAAATGTCATGAAGCATCCTCCCATCATCGAGATATTCTCACTAATGGATGTCTTTTCTGTGTTAGTCTCTTTTCAAGAAGCTTAAATAGTTGCTCACTTTCATCTAAGGTCAAATCTGTGTCCATCTATTTCACAATCCCTACCCAAAGTGCTGGTTGTCGTTTTAAAGACTCTTTGACTTGTTTACATTTAGAATGCTGTCAGAGTAAGCTAGAATGATTGTTGTCACATTATTCAGTTTGTACACGAATACAGAAATCCACTGGCTTTGACGTACGTTTGATTGCTGTTTATCAACTGTCTCTATAATAGACCGAATAAAAAACCAAGGTTTATTCTCAAAAGACATGCTGTCACGTTTAGATATATATGTAACTACCAAATACTGTCTTCACTTGAACGTACAGAGATTTTACTGCTGTTTTCCACATGAGTATACTAAGACACAGACACAAATATACGAAGACTGATACTTGACCAGAGTTCAATCAAGCACTTCAAACAGAGTTGCAGTTGGTCATAGATAATATTAAACAATGACTCAAAAAGATATGAGATGTGTGATTGGAAGGCTGTTTTGTAACATTTTTTCTAACAATTTTGCCGTCTTCAGACTAAAATCCAGCATTTATATACTAGACTTTTGATGTTCATGAATATTACCTAAATATCCTTACTTTTATTACTGTTTATCAATTTACACTTGTTGGAATATAAGAACTAATAAAACAACAACTAAGTCATATTATTGACTGTGTATGCAAACATTTTGAACAGTTAATCAATATCTGTTATGCTTTACGTAAGTTTAAAATAAATCAGGTATAGTAACACGTTTGCTATCTAAGGTAATCTGTAGTGTTAAATATAGTCTTTTCAAGTTTTAAATGTCCTATTTCCCACTAAATCCACTTCATTTGACATTCTTCAGTGAGTTAGAGCCACTTCTCAATATTTAATTCAGTCCTGAATTGCATTTTTACTTCTCAGAATAAAGTTTTAAATGAACAAACACTCTTTAGTTGCACACTGTCTAAAATTTCAGTTGTATAGAGGGGTAAGAAGCATAGGAAAGGAACAAATAATCCCATCTAAGAGTTGGTGATTACAATAAATAACTGTGTAATTCAAATGAAAGTGAAACAAGATCATGCGTAATGTCGAACAGAAGCGTCTGAGTTCAGTTATCATAACAACAATCTGTTACAGTATGTATGTCGGTTACACGTTTGTCGTTTTTAAGATATGTAAGATATGAACCATGGAACTCGGCTGTTTGACAAGCTCATCAAGGCTCATCCCAAGAATAATTTACGATGGTAGATAAGCATAACGACATGGGAAGAAGAATTAGTGGTACTAGTGTAAAGAACATTCATCGAAAAGACACATTAACCGGATCATACTTTAGCCACAACTGTTTCCCTCCTGCCAACTAGAACCGTGGGTTAGTTAAAGTACTTCACAACAGAGCTGGGAACTTATGTTCTGTAGATGGACAAGTTAGAGGAAGAACGAAACATTACTGAGAGGTGTCTTCTAGAGAGTGAACATCTTAAGAGATGCATGAATTGTGGAAAAGATCGAGAGAAATCAGCACCCGACCGTTGAAAAGAAGATTTTTATTCACCTTACATTCACGGAAGTTTCACTATCCAAGAGAATAGACACAAGAATTGAGAGAGCACTAAGGATGATCTCTACGGAGGCAAAATTTTTACCAGTATCGTATATCTATTGAACGAGTCAAAAAAAATCTGTTCATGTCGCATCCGACTGCCCTTATGAATTTACACACACAACAAGTAGCAAGGAGATTGCAAGGACTGGGAGGAGGGTATCCATTTAGTTCTATATTAGATTTGTTTATTTGATTTGTAACACACAGTGATCTAGTTTTATTTACTTGATGACATTGTGAGTATAAATTATTACTCATAATCATTTCAATGTAATCACACTACTTTCAACATCTGATTTTTATAGCCCTGTCACCTCATATTATTTGTTGTTATTGGTGACAAAGTTTTCCATATCTCTGGTATAGGTGTTGCATCATTCGTACTACATGTGTTGTTTATTGATTCGATGAACAAAGCTTCAGTGATCAATCTCTCTCTCTCTCCACTTTATCATACTAGACTTCAGTACAGTAGTTTTATCACACCCTATTGTGTGGTTATGTGTTAAGCATGCATTGCAATAACCGAGGTTTTTTGGTCTAGATTATTGACCTTAGTCAGGTCTGTTCTTTTATATTGTAAACAGTCCCTTTTATGAATTTCGATAACGTAATTAGAAGACGAAGTTTATCTGAGCAATGTGATGTGCTTGCGCAATACATTTCGAACAATCTGAACACACATTTACTTGTCAAGTCAATATATATTGAGCCGAGGACTGGGAGGGGGGATAAATACAACAACTAACACACACAATAGGGGATTAAAATTAAGAAAGATGAGGACAAACAGGAAGTGACATAGTTGGTCCTGATATTGGTAAGAAAACAAAGTTTACCAAGGTAGGTGTAGTGTAATAACAAACTGTTTTTGTACACATAAAGGTGGTTTAAATTTGTGTATGGCTATGGCTTCCGCAAATCTCAAAATACGTCCCTGACTGTTTCTATATAAGACTTTGAAAGCTGTTCGAACATTAACTTTGTGACCTGTTTCTATGACATGTTTAGCTATAGATGAAGAGGGTTGTATCCCACCAGCGTTTATCACTGTTTCACACTCCATTTATTTTTGAAGCCATTTGGGCACATGTCCTCCTACCCTCAACTGCATAACTCAATTACTCCTCCCTATGTATGTGTGACTACACACACATGTAAATTGGTAAACGCAATATATTTAGCTAAGTTCCTGTGTTCCACTATTCTAATAGATATCGACCGGCTGGTTTGACCTATGTACTTGACTTCACAGTCATTACATGGAATTTGATAGATTGGATTATTTTGCCTAATTGGTTCTACTGATCCTTAAGCCGAACAGTCAAACATAAGAATATAGAAGAACAGACCTGACTAAGATCAATAATCTAGACCAAAAAACCTCGGTTATTGCAATGCATGCTTAACACATAACCACACAATAGGGTGTGATAAAACTACTGTACTGAAGTCTAGTATGATAAAGTGGAGAGAGAGAGAGATTGATCACTGAAGCTTTGTTCATCGAATCAATAACAACACATGTAGTACGAATGATGCAACACCTATACCAGAGATATGGAAAACTTTGTCACCAATAACAACAAATAATATGAGGTGACAGGGCTATAAAAATCAGATGTTGAAAGTAGTGTGATTACATTGAAATGATTATGAGTAATAATTTATACTCGCAATGTCATCAAGTAAATAAAACTAGATCACTGTGTGTTACAAATCAAATAAACTAATCTAATTTGGAATTAAATTCTACTACGATGCCCAAGCTTTACACTTATATTAATCCAATAGGTTCTCTGAGTATATCTCGAAGAATCTGTGCCTGAAAGGAAGTAAAATTCTACCCGGTTTAATTGGTGGACACCTCGTAGATCCAGGATATTAAATTGAAACCTTGAGTGCTTTTAAGATAACAAACGCAAAAAAAAGGTCTGGATTATTACTTTTCATAGGAGCGATCGCTATAAAATACTTTCAACCTGGCCTTTGTAGACAGGAGAGTGTAGTTAGTCTCTCACTTCCTGTATTGACTATAATTTGATGTTGTTTCGTTTTCATTTGAACTACACAATTGTCTATGTTACTCACCTACTTTCAGATGACATTGTTTTTTCCTTTCTAACTCTTCTTATCCCTCTGTACATCTAGTTATCTTACATATTAAATAGATTATTAGTGATTACGATTTTAAACTTAAAAGTCTTGATTGCCTATTTTCAAATTATTTTATGTCTTAATAACCGCTGCACTTTTAGACTGTGTGCAGCTGAAGAGTGTTTGTCAAATGGATTGGTGTTCTTTTACTCTGAAAATATCGTCCTTCTCGCTTTATCCAATTTATCAAGGGATCTTAATACATAAAGTATTTTCAATGAAGAGACCTTTTTTTAAATGATAACTATGATTCCATACTAGGTATGCCGCCTTGAATTCAAAGGGATACCCATATACATTCACTAAAAAGGATAAGATCATAGTTATAATGTAAAACAATCAAAATAATTTCATTACTTGTTGTTGGAGTTGATCTAAAAATGACTGACTCATCGCTGGTTGTGAGACCACTTTGTTTAAATCGTCAATATATTTTTTTGTAATAGAAAGCTCTTTAGGCAATTTTTCAGAAAGCATATATTGATTTACTCTTGTCTCCTCTTCCATGCGTTGTATCAATGCTAAAATAAGTTAGCATTTTGAAAAATATTTATGTAGTAGACGTGTGTAAACATTTTGATTGCTAAAATCAATAATTTAAAAATTAAACGAAATTAACATATTCAACACTCAGTAAATACCTTACTTAGCTTGAAGTTTTGATGTCATTTGATACAGATTTTTATTAAAACAACCAAATGAAATGTAAACTTAACTCTTACTATCAATAAAAAAGAGCTTGAAAATGCTATTAAATACTACTATTTCTCAAATTATGTACACCTAATATTTTCAAAAATGTTAAAATATTTACTGAAATTCAGACCTTTTTGCAATAACCTTGGCTGAACTTAAAAGTCCCACAAATTTACTTACAGTTAGAGCTGTTTGCTCCAACTAAAGTACAAATAAATTTTGTACATTCCTTTATGCTTAACGTTGTTCCAATTTATCTGTGCTTTGTATATGTATTTCATAAAGACACAAAATTCCAGTTTCTCCTATTACTTTTGAACACAAAATTATGTTTTCATGTTTTTATTCAAGTGATTTCAAAATTTTAATGTTGCATATAGCTCAATAATCGTGAGTTTTTTTGGCGGATGAGTTTTCAAGTCATGTTTACTGCTGATTTAAACATTTAACTTCAAATTGTTTGAAGACTAGTTGTTATTTAATCACTGTTAGTAGTAATTTGTCAGGGAAGTTTTCATTATTAAAAAAAACTTAATTTTAACAGAAAAGACCCGAAGCAAGCCAAACATTCTGAGTAGATGAACTGGGTTAGTGTAAATGTAATTTGCATGTGTATAACTCCATAAGGGTTACATTATGTTTGCATTATTTACATCAGTTTGCCAAAAGCAATGAATTACCTTGGCAATAATCTGTTAGTCAAACTTGTTACCATTCAGAATTTCTCCAATGCAGTAATAAGTTAGCGAAATGCTATGATTATTTATTCACCGAAAAATACTTTCAAATAGTTTACACCACAAAATACAATTTATCAGTGTTTTTTCAATAAATTATGAAATTGGATTATAATAATTTTTGGTGCAAACAGACTCTGAGAAAGTGTACAACTTCTTCCACTTGAGCCCAATAATTAATTCCTTAAAAATCTAACTGATAAAATTTAACCAGCTACATTTACGGATCAAATCATGGATGCATAATAAACGGTTTATCTAGTGAATTAGTGTTGTTTTTTGATCTGGACCAGCACCTCGTTGTAAAAACTATGAAAATGCAAAATTATTGGGTGGTTTTAGTTTATATATAACCAAAACAATAAACTAACAAAATGTTTCCTGAAAATTTCTCTACGCATTCTAATGTTCAACAGAATTACACAAGTGGGAAATCCAATGAATACCGGCAACAAAGAGATTGTCGAAGCGGAGAGTGATTGAAATAGAATAAAATTCTTTTGAGGATGGATTTTCATAGAACTCTTTGTGGAACACCAGATTGTCAAAATCATATATTTCAGTGATTTTATAAGGAACCAATGACCGCAGATGGTGGAGAGTAATTATCGCTTAGAAGAATAAGCTAGGAAGTGTTGCATTATTTGACCTGACTGCTTCAATCTAATCGCTCAAGATCCCGTCCAGAAGGACTGTTAATTACAAAGGATATTTTCACATAAATCGATAAAGTGATAAAATTCAGTGTAACAGGTTGGAGTCTATGGCTTAAAATGTAATCCTTCACATATGTAAGTTAAGAATCTCAGCAGGAAATAGAGCGAATAATTAATTAGGAAATTGTAAAGGTGTTTAAATGTTAAACATGAGGTGATCTGACAGATTTACATGATCATATTGTGTGAGTGAGGTGAATATGGTTGCTGTTGGAGGGTGTGTTATTAAAAATTGTCCCGTTCCGAAGTATTCGGGGATTTATTAATCCCAAAACAGGTTTGTGTAGTGGTAGCAGTAAAATTTGTTTCTTTTAAACATATAACTCAACAAATTCCTATGAGATTTCATACGTTCTGCAGTTTGAGTGGATTAAAAGCTGACTACTCTTGAAACGTTTTTCAGCATACGATAGATAATGGAATCCTACAGCGGCGTTTTTATCGTGTGACTTTTGCATAAGTACTGATGTAATCATTAGTACACCTCAAACTTGTGATACTTTCTTCAAAATGTGTTAGCTAATAGAGAAGTATATACAATCCCCACTATACCACTGTATGTTTACGCTGAGAGGTAATTTTGAGCAGAGGTTTAAATTTCTGGAGCCTCAGTGATAGATTTGTTTTTCACAATAACATTTTAGTTCACAAAGGTAATAAAAACAACTGATATGTACGATTTCTTCTTGTTTTGGATGACACAGGTGAATGAAAAACATAACTTGGCATTTCTAGCATTAGTGCTGCATAACTTTTTAGGTTTAACCAGCTTCTCACTTTCTTTTTTATGTTTTCACACGTCCGGTTATAGTATTCCTATTTGCACTATATAAGCCACTTTCTGTTGTATTTATTAACTTATCTATCTATAGGATGTAAGATTCCAACCATTGGCTGAAGCTGTGTATAGGGTCCCAAAACCTTTGTGTTAGAAATATGACATCGGCTATTTTAGATGGGCGATATGAATGCCGAATTGGGAGCAGACAACACAGGAAGAGAACTAACCATGGGTCAAGAAGCACTCGGTGAAATGATGAATGAGAATGGAGAACTGTTTGAAGAATTCTGTGCATTCAACGATTTGATGATTGGAGGCAGTGTGTTCAAGTACAACGATATTCACAAAGCTAGCGACATGGATTTCACCAGACACCAGGACACACTAAAAATCAGATCGACTTCATCTCAATGTGAAGGAAGTGGAGACGCAGCCTACTTGACACTAGGTCACGAAGAGGAGAAGATGTAGGCTCAGACCACTATCATATTGAAAGCCTTCAAGGAAGTTGGTGATAGACCACAGTTCAAGTTCAACACCTAGAACGCAGACTGAACTGAAGGACGAAACTACCAGGGACATCTTCACGTCAGCCATCAAGACAAAATGGGAGATATCTAGCAACATCCCTGAAGAAACCTGTGTGGATGAGCTCTGGAAGTCTTTGAAAGCTATGTGGAAAGAAACCTGCATAACCGTATTAGGAAGGAAGAAGAAAGAAGATAAGGAATGGATTTCGAAGGATCTCCACATGGAAGCTGATTGAACAGGGAGAGGAGGATGGTGAAGCAGAAGATAAACCAGTGCGAGAATGAACGACGAGAAGAAGAACTGAGTAGAACCCATAAAACACTCACTACACTGGACAAAGAAGTGAAGAAGAGTGCGCGCGAAGACAAGAGACACTTCTACGAAACACTGGCAAGTGAAGCAGAACAGGCTGCAGGCTGCAGGTAGGAGAGACAGAGACCTGACGACAGTGTATCAAATAAACAGGTTACCATCTGGGAGGGAAGAGATCAAAACAGATGAAACCAATAAAAGATGATGAAGGTAACCTAATTACTAAAGAAGAGGAACAAAGGAGACGATGGGCCGACCACTTCAATAAGCTCTTCAATCCACCACCACCACCACCACCGACTGCAACTCGTCCAGAAATGCCACCTGCAGCCACACACACAAATCCTCCGACGAAAGTCGAAGTCCTGAGGGCTGTAAAGCTACTGAGATGCGGGAAAGCAGCAGGACCAGATGGAATTCCGCCAGGAGCACTGAGAGCAGACGCAGAGACAACAGCGGACACACTCACACCACTAGTGTAGAAGGTCTGGGAGGAAGGGAAGGTACCTGACGGTTGATTGGAAGAAGGGCTACCTTGTCAAACTCCCGAAGAAAGAAGACCTGAGTGTTTGCAAGAACTGGCACGGAATCACGCTCCTGTCCCTGTCCACCCACAGCAAGCCAAATATTAAGCCGCATCATCCTGGAGAGACTAAAGAATGCGCTGGATTCAGGAAGTACAAATCATGTGCGGTTCAAATTGCAACGCTTCTCGTCATCATAGAACAGAGCACTGAATGGCAGTCAACTCTCTACCTCAACTTCATCGACTTGAAAAGGCCTTCGACAGCGTCAACCGACAAGTAATTTGGCAGGCAACTGCTCCAACACTACGCAATTCCACAAACCTTTATCAACCTCATTCAACAACTATATGAAGACGCCACATGCCAAGTAATTCACAGTGGGAAGCTCGGTGATGCCTTCGAAGTGAAGACAGGAGTAAAACAAGGCTATCTACCATCACCCATGATATTCCTGATTGTAGTGGACTGGATCATGCAACAAGCTGTGAGGAGCGAGAAGATGGACATACGCTGGCTGGACCGATGAAAAGACCGCAGAAGAAGATTTAGATTCGCCAATAACTTGTGTCTGATGTCACACAAACTTGAAGGTCTACAGGTGAAAACTAACAAGTTGACAGAAGAGGTGAGGCAGGGCAGCGAAGACGGGACTTCTAGTGGACGTGGAGAAGACAGAGGTGATGAAGATACCCAACCAACACCAACACCAACGCCACCAGCAACAACAACAGAAAGCTCCAATCACCACCAACGGGAGAAACCTAAAGGAAGTAGACTCTCTCACCCATCTAGGCAGCACTGTTTCAACTACAGGCGGTGGCACAGACGAGAGCGTCAAAGCCAGCCAGTATCGAAAACACAGCAAGACAGGTGTTCATTAACCTGAAACCAGTGTGGAGATCTACTGCACTTCACTCAGCATGTGGAACAAGATCCGGATTTTCAACACCAACGTCAAGTCAGTGCTCCTACATTGTTCAGAAACTTGGTGCGTTACGAAAGGGATTTCCAACAAACTACAGACATCCATCAACAACTGCCATCGACGCTCGTTACTGAAGATCAGATGGCCAGAATAATAGGAATAAGCAACAAGGAACTCTGGCATGCAAAGAACCAACCAAGAACCTATCACTCAACAAATATGTAGAAGCAAGTGGAGATGGATTGGATTGAGCATACACTGAGAAGGCCGACTGGGGACAGACACCACGCACCATG